CCAAAAAAATTAAAGTGAATAAAATTAAATGATGATATAGCATGATTGTAAGTGCTATGAACTTAAATAACTTATTTAAATATAGCAATTAATAATCTTTATACTTACTAAAAAAGCTAATGCAAATAAAATTAAATAATGATATAGCGTGATAGTAAGGTAAGTGCTATTAACTTAAATATTATTTAAATATACCAATTAATAATCTTTATATACACTAAAAAAATTAATACAAATAAAATTAAATAACAATATGGTGTGATGGTAAGTATTATAAACTTAAATAGTCTATTTAAATATACTAATTAATGATCTTTGTACTTACTAAAAAAATTAATATTGATTGTCAAAATTAATGTAATTAAATCAAAGATGCAGTTAATAAATAGATTCAAATAGCTTATGCTGATACATTAATTAATAAAAAATTTACGCTTACTGATTAAATCAATAAATATAAAGAATATATTAGTTAAATACATATTATATATTGATATTACATTGTGAAGTTTCTTAATTTTCTAAAATCAATAGAGACTATGTAAATTAAATTTATGCTCATGTGAGAATTTGTAATATTTTAAATGTGGTTGTCAGCAACCTAGTGTGACAAAATATTATTTATATATCATAATCAGAAAAGATCGACAAAGTTACCAATGCTTTTATTTGTTAAAGAAAAAAATTGTCTTACCAGAAGGTCTTTGATATAATTAGAAATTATCAAATTATCAGGCCAGCAAAAAAATTCAAAACAAAAACAAAAATTTTGACAAAAGCAAAAATCAAAACTAACAAACCAATATAAAATATAATCAGCATTATATTTTTTTTTACCAAATATAAAATACAAATATGCAATTGCAATTCAGAAATAGAAGCTAAAAGCTAGAAGCAGAAGCTATAAGCTATAAGCTATAGCTTATGTATTATAAAAAAGCCAAGAACAATTTTTTTTCTAGATATTATAAGAAAATTGTTTTAATGATCTTATATACAATAATAGATATATCACTAATGCTAAGCATACATAGTTAATAAATATTATACTGTATAATTACAAATTTATACAACATGGTTACATATAGTAAAAGTAATCAGACAAAATTTAATAGTGTTAAAGAAAAGCAATATAAAGTATATAACAATATACATCATATATATATACATTTTATACAATAATAGACATATCACTAATGTTAAGCATACATAGTTAATAAATTTTATACTGCATAATTACAAATGGTAAAAAAATTATACTACATAGCTATATATAGTAAAAGTGATTAGACAAAATATAATAATGTTAAAAAAAAGCAATTTAAAGCATATAACTATATGTATCATATATGTATACATTTTATATATTAATAAGTACTAAAATAGTTGATAATAGTTTGTATATCATTACGGGTAAACCTAGAGATTTTATCAGCAATAAAAATAATAATATATTCAATTTTGTCTATCCAATTTGCCTAAATAAATCATATACTTTGTTTGCTTTTTAGTTTTTTTTCTCAAGTGGCCTTGCTTTATATTTGGTAAAAATATCAAAATTTTCTTGTAAAGTTTTAATTGAACAGCTTTTTCAGAAAGAGAATTGTTCAACATCATTTCTCTAATTTTAATTTCATGGTTTTTACCATAATGATATCATGATATAATTTCATCTCTTTTACTTCTAATTGTTTTTTTCTCATGCTTTATTGGCCAATTTATAAAGACCTGCCAAAGTCTTTGCTGATATTTGACTAGATCCTTCTTCTATATTCATTTCACTTTCATCATTGATCTCACCACCTATTTCTTCAATCTTTTTAATATGATTTGTTATTTATATTATAAATTCTTGAATCACTAGTTTTTTTATATTAATCAGTCTGTTGTTATCATCAATAATATTATCATTATACTCATTATAGTTCTCATCATTTTTATTATTATAATCCTCATCATTTTCATTATTATAGTCCTCATCACCTTTTTCATTATCTTCAGACTCATCTCTACTTTTATTATCATCTTTATTGTAATTATTTCTATCTTCATCCTCTTTAGACTCATCTTCACTCTTAATATGATCATTTTCATCTTCATTTATTTTATTTGATTCTTGGTTATTATTACTTGTACTTTCGATTGGTGTTTTAATACGATTATCTGGTATTGAACTTTGTGCATGACAAATTGGACAAGTGGGACACAATTCTGAATTAGAGTAACTGTGATAATTATAAATACATTTATAGTGAAAGAAATGCTTGCATGACAATATTGTTATCGACTCATTTAAACTTGGTAAAATAATATCTTGGCAGAAAACATATCTATCAGGATTTTTAATATTTATGGGTGTTTGATTAATTATTTTACTTAGAAAATCAATTAAGAATGATATTTTCAAAACATTAAACTGAAGAACTTAGTAATTCAGAGAAAGAGAGACCAAAATTCCAAAGTTTATTTGAAGAACTAGAATATGTAAAGGACAAATTGATATTTGGGAAGGATTTTGAGATAAGAATTTTTTTTTATTTTAATTACCTGTTTACAGATATTAATATCTAAATACAACTCTATTATAAATTAACTATAATTACAACTCTATTGTAAATTAACTATAATTACATATATATAATAATCTAAACATTTTTCCATATAATTATTTCATTTCTTAATTTGACAAATTATTGTAAACTCAAGTTCACAATACTTATATCATTTAATATTAAGATAAAATTAATATCGTGTAAGTAACAGTAACTCAAAATAATTATTTTGTTTCTTAATTTGACATTATGACTTTTAATCATTGTGAACTCAAGTTCATGATACTTATATTATTTAATATTAAGATAAAATTAATATTGCATGAGTAACAGTAACTCAAAATAATTATTTCATTTCTTAATTTGACATCATGACTTTTAATTATTATGAACTCAAGTTTACGATACTCGTATCATTTAATATTAAGATAAAATTAATATCACGTAAGTAATAGTAACTCAAAATAATGTGATAATAGTAATAAAATTAAAATTAGCTATCATTATAAAACATTAAAATATACTATGAAATAGTGTAATTATTAAACTAATAGACTTGAATTAAAATATACTATGTAATAACGTAATTATTAAACTAATAAATAGACTTGCAGTATAATTTATACAAAAATATACTATATAATAGCATAATTATTAAACTAATAGACTTGCAGTATAATTATACAATAATATAATGAATATAAATAAGGATATAAGAAATACAAGTACGTAGTTATCTAAAGTCATTTGTCGCTATTACTAACAAAATATGCACTAGAAGTTGTTTTTTATCATATTGGCCAATCAGGTATCGAGCTCAGGTGAAGCAAATTTCTTTATCATAAACAATGCCCTATCTAAAAATGGAAATTCAATTTGATATCCAGTAGCATAAATCACAGTATCAATATCTTTAATTTTAGTTCTATCTATGAATTCAATTGATCTATCTTTATTCAATTACGTCTATCTAAAAATAGGAATTCAATTTGATATCCAGTAGCATAAATCACAGCATCAATATCTTCAATTTTAGTTTTATCTACAAATTCAATAGATCTATTTTCATTCAATTGTGCTTATCTAAAAATGGGAATTCAATTTGATATCCCGTAGCATAAATCACAGTATCAATATCTTTAATTTTAGTTCTATTTATGAATTCAATAGATCTATCTTCATTTAATTGCACAATGTTTGGTTTAACAATTAGAGTTCTTCATAGTCAGATGATAATTAGATAGTTCAATTTTAGTTCTAGGTCTGCTGGTGGTAGTCCAACTATAAATTTTGATATAGTCTTTGTTATATAGTTTTGAATAAATTATGGCAACCAAGTAATAGAAAATCAACTATTGCTATAATAAATAGGTTTTCAATTTACAAGTCTTGATATAATCTATGAAGTGTTTCTTAAATTATATAATAGATTCATATTATTAAATTTAAACACAATTAAATAAAATATTGTATAATTCTTGAATTTCATAGTTCTTGAATTACGAACATATATATAAACTTGCGATGCTAATTCTGATAATTCTATAGAAATATCTATACTACTAAAAATAAATTTATACAAGTTATCACTTAAAATATTTTCTTGTCAATATAACTCGAGTCATTTTCTAGAACTTAATCAATTGGTATTAGATCAAAATAACTTTTAAAAAATCGTACAATATCTTTTACCTGTTTTCATATCTAACAACAACAATATGCTTATTCTTATAATTTGTAGGTTCTTGATAAACATGTAAATGAATTTGAATTCCTTTAAATTGGTCTATTCTTTTGTACTTTGGCATTTGAAAATAACGATGATGGCTGTAGCAACCCGTAATCAAACACACTTTCAACTTCTTCGTGTTTAGTCACATATCAAACTTTTCAGTGTTGTTCAGAAAGAATTAATGCATTTAAAACAGTAGTATTAAATTTTATATAAGGGATAAGCTGAAATCTTTCTGTGTATATATCAAAATACCTGAAATATTTAATAAAAATTGATAAAATTGTAAATTATTAAGTAATTGGTAATTGATAATTGATAATCTACTTTGTGACAAATTTGTTATACATATAGTACGGCCAATTAGGAGGAATTAGAAAATCTGAAAATGTCGACATTGGCAAAATTTTTTATATTATGCATATCAAAGCTTATACAAAAAATATATTTATATAAATATATTTTCCCTTACCATTTTTTACTATATAGTATTAATAATTACATTTTTATAGATTGATGAAGCTAGATACTTATTTTCTTCAGTGACTTCATGTTAATTTAATTTTTTTAAAATATAAATATTTACCTTTAATAAAATATATAACTAACTCTTAATACTCTATTGAATTTGCATTACTTGAATGTACAGATTTACGGAGTAGCACAAATTCTTTAAAGTTCATTCATGATATTTTTTGGTAAAATACCAAAGTCTCGCAATAGCATTGAATGCTTCAAAATACACTGGTTCGAGATTGTCAGCAAGATACTTATCATGCATAATAAGATAAATTAAGCCAGCCTAGATTGAATAATGTTCTCTAATATTAAGAGATAAGAGAATAATATAAATAATTATTACAGTCAATATATACCTTGCTATTAGACGTATCAAATCAAATGAAATGATCATGCTTTTAATTATAAAATTAGGCCACAAATCACTTGTCAAAAAATAGTGAATACTATTCTAGGGGGTACTATATGCAGCACTATCCAGTATGTTCTTGTTTGGTGAATTCATTTTGCTGTTCTTAATTCACTCTATTAATAAATATTCTTTATATCTACCAGCTAAATTAATGCAAATTAATGATTTTGGTATAATGATAAGTAGTTGTGGTCTTGTTTGGTAAATTTGGTTGTGATAGAACAAAAACATCTATTTTAATTTAGTTTATATTTAATATTTAAGTGAGATAATGATAAACCTAATGAAGCAAAGAAGGAAAGAATATAATAATAATTTAGTAAAATATTAAAGTGATAATGTAAAAGCATATAATGATCAAATAATATAAATAATAACATTAGATTCATATAGATTAACAGAGTTTAATTAAGCAGATTATATAACTTCAAAAACATCAATGTCTGTAAGAGTTTATAATGTAATATATTCTGAAATAATAATGTAATATATTCTGAAATAATAATATAATATATTCTGAAATAATACTGTAAACCGATCATAAGTAGAGTTTATTCTACAATTTCTACAAGTTAACAACAGAAGTGACAATGTTTGATTTTACAAATATACTATAATTCGAGTTTTAATAAGTCTAATCACAGTTGCAATTCAATTTAGTTTATAGAATTAAGTCTCTAAAGGTTTATTAAAGTTACAAATCGAAATAAAAAGATAATTTGAGAGCTGCACAGGGAAAACCTGTAAATAAAATTTAATTTGTTAAAATATTGTACGATTTTGACCAATCAAATTTCAAGATTAGACTGATCTTGAAATTTGATTGGTCAAAATCATACAATATTTTAACAAATTAAATTTTACTTGCAGGTTTTCCTTGTACAGCTCTTATTTATAAAAAAAATTCAAATAAATAAAAACTTTAATATTATTTATTATATCAGAAACAGAGTACAAAATATGTAGAATATAGTTTACAGAAGAGTGAAATAGTGTACCTTTCTTATATCAGCTATTGTTACCAAAATAGAATTGAAATTATATGAATATCTTATTTTACTAATATAACTTATATGTATTAATATATACAAATAAAAGAAAATATAACTAATATGTATTGATATATACAAATAAAAGAAAATAGAATAATAGATGTGGCAACGTAGAAAAGTGGTTAAGTTGTCACCTCCAAGTGGTAGGTCTAGATTTTGATTCTTACCGGAGACGTTTTTCGAAAAATAGGCCTGTGTTCTAGTAATATTTATTCGACATTCGGTTGGGTATATCACCTGTAATCTTAGTACTACTATCTTGAAATAGAAGCTTTAGAGCGATCTAAATCCAAGGAACCAGAATATTTGAAACCTGTTTGGCAAAACCCAAGCTAGGAGTAGTAAAGATCTTTGATGATACTACAGAAAATTAGAACCGAACCCTGGGTCAAAAAGGGTCTACCAACCTGGTTACCAGAGTCATACTAAAAGAAAAAGTCCAATGCTACAGAATTTGGAACCAAGAGAAGTAAAACCAGAAGGCACTTAGAGCCTAGGTATAACAACCCTTCTGGGCTACTGACTTGGTAGTTGGGGAAAGATCAGTATAAAGGCCGGTTGAAGTGGGTATTAGGTTTAGAACGAACCTTGTAAGAGCAAAGAGTAGGTAAGTAGCAGTGATAAAGACTGCAAGTACTAGTTTTCAGATTGGGTATAAGTTACCGAAAACCCAAGGTAATACATGTGTGAGACATGGACTGCTCTGGTAGGTTTATCACAAGGATAAAGTAGTCCAAAGGAGCCTTAGTAGCAGGAATTCTTCTGGGAAAAGCATCTGATGGTGCTAAGTCGATCAGAAGGTTTAAATAGGAGATCCACAAGCAGATTCTAGATATAGCAATTGGTAGATAACTATAGATAGTATAGCGGAGCCTTTAATTAGACAATAACTAAAGTTGTATATGTGACTAATTGTACTCTCATTGATGTAACAAATTTAAGGGTGCTTATTTGGTATCCTGATAATTGAACTGAAAAATTAATAAACTGTGCCAGACCCCAAGTGGTTACCTTAATATTTAAAAAAAAAAAGAAAATAGAATAATATGTAAACAATGAATATTCAATTATCTATCTGTTACAGTATAGTATAGTAAAAATTGAAAAATAATATGTTAATTAATTATTGACAGAATTTAGAAATGACACATAATATATATACATATTTTTATTGTTCTTCTAATTGTACCTTTTGAATAATTATATTAATTTGAGTTTCAGTAAGGTTTGAGACTGTATTAAAACTATACAATCTAATTTGTTTAATTTTACACAGGTTGAATACCAAAATATTGGACAAAATATCGGCTATCTGATATTTCTATATATAATAACGATATTTTATCAAGATATCTATAAGAAATATAGGTTGATTATATCTTGCTAAAATTGAATTAGAATTTTACCTTTTGAACTGAAAGTATTAATAAATATCAGCTAAGAAAATATCTCACCAAAATTAGTTAGTATTTTGTAGAAACGGGTATCAGTTATTCAATATTTTATTTTTTTTATATATTTGTTATGATACATACACTGCCGGAACAATATTATTGCCAGCACAGGTTTTTTTCAATTTTTAACAGCTGCTCTACCTTGTTTAGTGCATCAAAAGTGCATGAGTGTAACCCAGATTCGTATAAAGAGAGCATCTTCTTGCATTGTGAATACAATATAAAATTTCTAATTATATTATATAATTGGAAATTTTACTTTGTATTTGCAACACAGGAAGATGATCTTCTTATGCAAATCTGGATTACACTCGACACACTTTTGATGCACTAAACAAGGTAGGGTAGCAGTTAAAAATCAGTGCTCTTTAAACTGTAAAATTAAATTGATTTAAACAGCCAATCATACGAAAGTCTTCCTATAGGGATAATTGTTAATGCACAGAGCATAAATAATAATCATTGATAACAGATAATCATTCTTTTTTTTAACAGTAATTACATATATATGTATAGTACGTACGTACGTATATTTTTTTTCTTTATTTTTGACTATTTAGTTGATTTTAAATTTATTTAGAATTATATAAACTACAACCCTTTCTTTCTCTATCATTTCTTTGTTTGAATAATATTTCTGGCTTTGGGTGACTAAATATACTTAATTACCACTCTTTCTTTCTAACCAGGTAGGTTTTGATCTTTCTCTTCAACATTTCTTCGGCTTGAATTATTTTTCTGCATTCTTCTTACCAAGTGGGCTTTGATCTTTCTCTTTGACATTTCTTTGGCTTGAATTATTTTTTTACTTTGGGTGATCACTATATATTGTTAGTTGTTTTGATTCTGAATATATTTAACTACCACTCATTCTCTTATTAGGTGGGTTTTGATCTTTCTCTTTGACATTTTTTTAGTTTCTGGCTTTGAGTGATCACTATATATTTTTTTTACCAGGTGGGTTTTGATCTTTCTCTTTAACATTTCTTTGGCTTGAATTATTTTTTTGGCTTTGGGTGATTACTATATATTGTTGGTTTTTTTTGATTCTGAATATATTTAACTACTACCCATTCTTCTTACCCGGTGTCGAGGCGAGGGTTAATTAAAGTATGTGTCGCTCTAAATTCTTGCCCAGACGGCTTGATTTGTTGATTTCGCACTCGTAATCCTTACTACGTTCGCTCCGGTCTCAACACCTTGTCCCTTTTACTCAACGACGACTACGACCTTCTACCTTTCAGGCACCACGACGTACAAGTCAGAGTTTTTTAATAGTTTATTACGAACAAGCAGAAGTGTAGGTATCGATCTGTAAGATCGATCCCCTTATTTATTTAATTA